TGCCTGCCTGCCTGATCACCCCTAACCGCCTCTGCCTGCCTGACTGATTGCCCCTAACCGCCTCTGCCTCTGCCCCCGCTGCCACAGCTTTGTCCGGAAGGACTTCTGGAATGACGTCCGGAAGGTCATTCAGCTGTCCGGTCTCATTAGCATATTATGCTTTTATTATTATAGATAAGATATTTTAAATTGGTAAACTAATTCCAATTATCAAGTAAAAGAACAAAGGCAGCTCAATTGACAAGAGAAATGTATTCTAACTATAAATGAAGTCCAAAGTCAGATGTTTTCCCAACATATGTGATATAACACAAATTACACATAAACCAATAGACAAACCAGAGACCCCCCTCCCTCACAGTAATGAGTTGCCAATATGATGTATCATTTTGAAGTAAAAAATGATTTACAAAGATGTATTTTCTTGGTTGATAACAGAAAAATCATTCCCAAAGTATGAGTTGGTTGTCTTTATTGATTGGTAGAGGAAATAAATGAAAATGTACATGCAGTTCTTTACTCCTGGGTGCACATGGTAGGTTTTTATGCTCAACCAACTCAAGTTGATATCTTTTTCAAAAGCATTGTAAGGGAAACATAACTATAAATGGTATCATTAATATGCAGTGGTAAATTTTTTATATTCTTTAATGAGACTTTTATTCTGAGAGTTTCTTATAAAGGAGGCTCAAATCACTTTTAACCTATAATTACCACTTCTGTGCTTTCTGACTCGGGTACTATCTAAACCCAACTTAATAATGAATCAAATTTTTCTTGGCATGGTATTCTCACTAAAGCATTTTGCAAATGGCAACTAACTTCAGAAAGGACTTAATCTGTTTCTTTTTAACTGAAAAGATACTATCTAAAATAATAATTTAAAATATTGCTTTCATGTTAAAACAGTTTGATAAATGGCCTTACATGCTAACAATTTTGGCTTAAATAGTACAAATCTTGATGCCAGAGAATAAGAGATATTATAGATACACTTTTATTAATATTTGCTTTAAGCATCTCTTTTAACATCTTATTAAAATTTGAATTTTTAACCTTGTGAGATATAAGAACTTTTAAGTAGTATTTAATGCAAATATAGGCTATGTCAACATTTTTTCTCAGACATGTAACACAAAAGATCCCCTATATGGACAAGAAAGGAAACAATCTATAATGGGATCCAAAACTACTTGTGTAGTAGCCAAAGTTACAAAGCAGTCAGTCTTTAACTGGCAATATAATGCATTCTGGGCCGTCTCCTTCAAAATTAGTACATAGTGTTTATTGAATGCATGCCATGTGCCAGCTGTGATGTTAAGTTCTTGGAACAGTGACTATTTTACATATGGCAAAATTGAGGCTAAATAGGGTTAGGTGCCTTACAAGAGGTCACTTGTAATAGGACTCTGATTCAACCGGGTCTTTGTACTCCTTACTGCCTTATCTGTACAAAGTATAATCTCAAAATTTCTCTCAAGTACCTATCAAAAGCATAGTTGAAAGAAATACTTAAATGATCAAGGCTATTTCCAAAGCTTCATATACAGGGTGGGGCAAAAGTAGGTTTATAGTTCATGTGGAAAATAATGTAATAATACAAAAACAAATTGTTTCACATACAACTGTAAACCCAATTTTGCCCCAGTATTCATTGTGGACCACCTTTATTATAATTACCTGAAATACTTTAAATATTCTTGGCCCTACTCTCACTATTGTGGTTCAGTAGATATGTAGGCTCAGGTGGTCTTTGTGAACAGATGCTGCCTCCTAGTGATCACTGCTTAGTTTTCTGTGTCCATAATGTTAAAACAAAACAAACAAAAAAGCCCTCAAAGGAGATATTTGAAATTTTGTCAGGGACATTTGTCAAGCCATTAATGCATGTTAGGTACTATGCTTGAAGCTATAGGTATATCAGGGAACAATATTAACAAGCTCTTGTTCTTGTGAAGTTTGTATCTGTCTATAGTTCCTCGGCCAAATCATCTTGACTCAAAGATATACTTTTCATGGTCATGAGTTAGTTCATTAAATTCTCTCAGTACTCTGGGATATAACTTATGGGTCTTGGATTCATTAAAGTAACTGAAAACTGTGTTTTTGAGTTTAATATAATTTGTATTGAACTTTGCCTGCCTTTTTTCTGTTTTAAGATTACAAAGTCTATGTAGGTTGCAAAACAAGAAAGATAAAGGCAAAATGGGACTTCACCAACAGTTCTCTATCATTAGCCAACAGTATGCATCGTTTGGTGAATGAATGAGTTGAGAACTATTCTCTAAGACATCTTTCCTTAGGTTTAGCATTTAAAAATTTTAAAGCATTCAATTTTAAAATTGATTTTTCTTATACCCATTACTTCCATACGTTTTGTACATATTTCTCTTTTAAGCATCCTTTAATTTTATAGATGTATTACTTGCCTGAGGTGACACAGGTCAAGTATTATTAAACTAGGATCAAAATCCCACCCTAGTGTTTTTTCAACTATATGATATGGTTTCTTCTCTATCATCTTATACTGTACACATTTTTTAAAGTTTTATTTTTCCCATATACTACCTTTACAAATGCCACATGATAGAAATGGCACAATATTGTTAATACATTTGAAATATGTTAAAAGGAAAATAATCTAGGAGTGGAGGGGTGGGAGAGATCCCTGGAGGATATGACACATTTTGTCGTGTATGTAAAACTCGAGTTTGGTGAATGAATGGCGACTAACCCTATTTAGCCTCCTTGTTGCCCCATCACCCCATCCACCCAGTTACCACTCCAGCCCAGGCCTTCCTGCAATATTACTAGTATCTGTGACCATGGGCAATGCATATCCTATATACTGGTAATAAAGCGCTAATATGCTAATTAGACCGAACAGCAGAACAACTGTCCAGCGCTGCGAGGGCTGAGCCCCTTGCATGAATTTCGTGCATTAGGCCTCTGGTATGTATAAAAGTTCTGTGGTTAATCTCTTCCCATACCCCTTCACCCTTTCCTCTGAGGTTCCTCAGGGGGTTCCATGCTTCCATGCTTCTGGATCTATTTAGTTCATCACATTATTTTGTTCATTAGATTCTACAT